GTCCTTTGGGGACAGGGGGTACATCCAATGGGTGAAGGGGGTACATCTAATGGGTGCAGGGGGTACGTCCACTGGGGGCAGGAGATACTTCCAATGGGTGCAGAAGTACATCCAATGGGTTCAGAAGATACATCAATGAGTATACTGAATCGGGGGTACTTCTAATGGGTGCAGAGGGTATGTAAAGTGGGTTCAGGGGTAAGTTAAATCGGTGCCGAGAGTACATTACATAGGTGCAAGGGTTACATACAATGGGTGCCATCCGTATGTTCAATGATTGCAGGGGTACGTCCAATGGATATAGGGAGTACATCTGATAGGTGCAGGGGGTATGTCCTTTGGGGGCAGGGGGGTTTTCCAGTGGGTGCAGGAGGTAAATGCAATAGGTACAGGAAATACATTAAAAAGGTGCAAGGGGAAACATCCAATGGGTGCAGGGGGCAAGTCCAATGGGTGCAGCCCGCAGGTCCAACAAGTGCAGGGGATACGTCCAGTCCGTAGGTCCAATGAGTGCAGTCCATATAGCCAATGTGTGCTTCTGATTGGTGAAGGGCAAATGTGTATAAAACAAATCGAACTTAGCCATCGTAGCTGCTGAATAAAAAAAGGATCATTTGGAAAACATTTACAAAAAGAACTAGAGGGCAGTGGACATAATTGCCTCCACACCAAGGAGAACTTACAACACGCTATCCCACATTATGTAAAGGCGAGACACACTCATTTACAATACAGGGGGGAAATTACAGTCTAAAAAATATGTGCAAATGTTAAATTGTTATTTTCACACTGTACAAACTATCTTCACAATCACTACAGGGAACTACAAAGACGCTTGTGTCGGGATGGAACACAGAAAATGTCCATAGTTTCCTGCTGCAGTAAATCAAATCCCACTCGTCACCATTTTATAAGCAGCACGGCGGTTTGGTTGTTAGCAGTACAGCGCCGGGGTCCTTGATGAAAATTCTCCCAGGGACACAGCCTACATGGCAATTGTTTGTTATTTGTTTCTGTGGGGAGTTCCTCCAACAATCCAAAAACATACGGGTAGTGTTATTAGCTGCCAACAAAAATTACCCTGTGTATGTTAGGCTACGTTCACACTAGCCTTGTGTGCAGGCGGCAGAGAGGCGTTTGGGAAGCGTTTTTACCGCTTCCCAAACGCCTCTGCCAATTCTGCACATTACAGCACATGGTGCTGTTCTAACGGGAGCGTTTGCGTCGCGTCGCGGCAAAACGGACGCCTCTGGATGAGTCAGGAGGCTTTGAAGCCTCCTATTCTCGTCTATGGTGCCGCTCCGCAAACGCCCGGCCGGCGTTTGCGATGCGGTTGCGACGCGGTTGCGGGGCGTTTGCGGAGCGGTAACACCACTCAAACTGCATTATAGGCGTTTTTGGGGCGTTATTAACGCTCGGCAAACGCCTAGCAACCGCCGCTAAACCGCGCATGCGGCGTTTGCAGAGCGTTTGCCGAGCGTTAAAAAACGCTCCGCAAACGCCGGACCAACGCTTGCCAAACGCTATAGGGGCGTTTGGCAAGCGTTGGCAAAACAGCCTAGTGTGAACGAGCCCTTAGTGTTGAGGGCTGTGGGACAGACTATAAAGCTCCTTCAGAGACCGATCTCCTGTGTTGTGGAATTTGTTGGCATCATCTAAATATAAGATTAAAAGCATTTTCTTTTTTTAGAAATAAACAGGCGTGACCTCCACTACCAAATGCCATTCTGCAGCAACTGGAAGATCCCCTATAAACTCACTCAAATCAAGGGGATTCCCCGATTACAGCAGAATGTAAATAAACAAGTGCTGGCATTAAAATAAAAAAAAACAAACAAAAAACAAAAAAACAGTATAGGGTCCCCCCCTTCTTCATCCATACCTGGCCTGGTATGGATTTTGAGGAAACCCCGCGCCAATAGTTTTTTTTAAGAATGGCATGGGTTCCCCACCAAAATCTATACTAGACCCGTACCCAAGCTTGCAGCCCAGCAGGGCAGGAAAGGGGGGGGTGGAACAAGCTAGCACCCTGTTCCCTCATTGTACCATACGTGGCCACATATCCTCAACATGGGGGGGTGCTTTGGGGGGCTCCCCCCAACCCAAAACACCTTGTCCCCATGTTCTTGAGAACAAGGACCTCTTCACCACAATCCTGGGCGGTGATTGTGGTGGTGCGACTTTAACAAGGGGGCCCCCAGATCCAGTCCTCACTCTATGTGACTGAGTATAGGGTACATAGTACCCCTACCTCATTCAAACACAAATGTCAAAAGTCCTTTATTAAAAATGAATAAAAACTTGTCCCCTGAAGTAAATCCAGCATCAATCACGATGAAAAAAAACAAAACAAAAAAAACACTGCCCACCAAACACTACGTGTCCTGTCCAGGGACACTCACTGAATGACAGGTAAACATGGGGGCGGGGGGTCACTCGGTGATGTCACGTGGTGACCTCACCCCCACATTTACCGGTCATTCGGCAAGTATCCCGTCGAGAGAGAGAGACACCCGCTGACAGCAGATGAGTCATGGTTGTTAAGGAGCAGGCAGCCGCTATGTCCTTAACAACCATCTATTCTTCACAATGAATTTGGAACAAATTTAAAAATTGTAATTCATCCAAATGAAACGAATGCATTCATCATTTTGTTTTTTTCGGATTTATTGTCATTTCTTTTGTATGTCCATTCGAAATACGGACACAACTGAATCTCTGAAAATTAAATTTTTGTTCGAAAAATCAAATCAAAATGAAATGACTCGCACATATGAAATGTATATAGTGCCAAAAATATACGCATCACTTTACATCCTGTATATTTACATCAGTCCCTATCCTCAGGGAGCTTACAGTCCCTACTACACATTCATACATACACATACTAGGACCAATTTAGACAGGAGCCAAATAACCGACCAGCCTGTCTTTGGAGTGTGGGAGGAGTGTTTTGCTCGAAAGTATTTCAAAATTGTGCTTGTTTTTAACATCTGAATTTGTAGAGCTGACTTAGTAATACAGATTTACTGCTGTCAGATCTTCAGGTCATCCTGGCCAGCACTGAAATTGATCCTGCATGGCTATAGCAGTCTCTCTCAATTGAAGGGGATCCCCTCAGCTAAAACAGCTAATTGTAGTTCTGCAAAAAAAAAAAAAGCCACAGCTTAAAGATTATTAGCTTCCATTCACATCTGAACGGTTTGTCACCCGTATTCCAAACTGCAACAATGCATGAAATGAAGGTTACCATTGTATTTCATGGTGCCTGTTCACAATCATGAGCATCATGTGTTGTTTGTGGCCCAAAAGAGTACTTTTTTTTTCCATGCAGAATATGTGAGATGAGGGTTTAGCATGTTTTTGTGCCTAACAAGGGGTCACCTCTTCCTACCAACCTCCCTATGAGGATTCTGGAGTGTCAATGTTCGACTTTCATCTAGGGCTGCTGTTAGAAACCACGGGGCCCCATACAGACAACCTGACAGCGCCCCCCCCCCCAAAAAAAAAAACAAACAAACAAAAACACAGTTTAGCAGGCTTCAGTTATGAATGAACAGAGCGAGTGATTGGTACTGATCACTCATTGTGTCCATTCAGGAAAAGAAGGGGCTGGTAAATGTGACATATTTACTGGATCCTTTCCCCACTCTCCATCCTGAAGGATCCTATTGTGTGCTTGCAGCTGTTGGATAAAGGAGAGGAAGGACTGTGGGGTTGGGGGCACACAGGGGGGGCCTAGGCAGAAAAGGGAAACATATGGTGCACAGGGAAGGTGATAGGTGCGGCAAGGGAGCAATTACTGGAACCGATCCCATCTATGTCTCTCTCTGCAGCAGTTAAAAGCCAGTGAGAGGGGGAGGAGAAGAAGCCAACTTTCAGCTCTGCCGAGAGAGCCATACAGGGGATTGGTTCCAGTAATTGCCCCCCTGTTGTGTCAATCACCTTCCCTGCCCATATCTAAATAACCCAGCTGCATGGACCCCCCTGCTGGACTGAGCCCCATACAGGAGGACTGGTGGTACCCCCCTTAATCACGGCCCTGCTTTCATCTGCCTGGTGAGGGCCCACAAGAACCTCTATAACCCCAGATGATACCCATTACAAGAACCACAGCAAGTGGCAGAGGGCCTGGGAAGAATCTGGCATAGGAGACATGGCTCCAAACTCCAATAGCACAAAACACCACAAAAAAAACAGGGAGCAGATATATCGACGATACTGCTTTCCAACTGCCCAAACAAAAATATCTGAAGCTTGAAAACATGAAGAAAAGTCTTCAGAAATACACATTAGTGCACCAAAAAAACAACTTCAAAGTCACCTAAAAACGCTCATGCTCAGTGCGAACAAGGAGCTTAGGCCCCATTCACACTTCGCGTTTTGTAATTGCAGGCAGAATCTCTACAATTCTGCCTGTGATCCCAAATCACGTAGCACGATTGTCATGTGGTAATTGCAGCAAAGGAGGAGGAGCTTCTTTTTTGGGTGACAAATATGTGTAGGCTGTGGGTGAATAAGTGGAATCAAGTGAAAATCACATGCAAAAATAATGTGAGCCCCGTTCACATTATTTTTGCATGTGATTTTCACTTGATTCCTAACAATGATGTTAAAATATAAAATACTGTGATGGTTATTATTGCTACTATACATCCTGTTGAGTCTTTCTTTCTAGGAAATACCACAGTGTCTCTTAAAGTGTTACTAAACCCAGGACCCTGCATTTATTATATGTGGTCTTCCAGGACCCTGCATTTATTATATGTGGTCTTCCAGGACCCTGCATTCACTATATCCGGTCTTCCAGGACCCTGCATTCACTATATCCGGTCTTCCAGGACCCTGCATTCACTATATCCGGTCTCCCCGGACCCTGCATTCACTATATCCGATCTCCCCGGACCCTGCATTCACTATATCCCGTCTTCCAGGACCCTGCATTCACTATATCTGGTCTCCCCAAACCCTGCATTCACTATATCTGGTCTCTCCCGAACCCTGCATTCACTATATCTGGTCTCCCCGGACCCTGCATTCACTATATCTGGTCTCCCCGGACCCTGCATTCACTATATCTGCTCTCCCTGGACCCTGCATTCACTATATCCGGTCTCCCAGGATCCCTGCATTCACTATATCTGGTCTCCCGGACCCTGCACTCACTATATCTGGTCTCCCTGGACCCTGCATTCACTATATCCGCTCTCCCTGGACCCTGCATTCACTATATCTGGTCTGCCCGGACCCTGCATTCACTATATCCGCTCTCCCTGGGCCCTGCATTCACTATATCTGGTGTGCCTGGACCCCGCATTCACTATACCTGGTCTCCCCGGACCCTGCATTCACTATACCTGGTCTCCCCGGACCCTGCATTCACTATACCTGGTCTCCCCGGACCCTGCACTCACTATACCTGGTCTCCCCGGACCCTGCACTCACTATACCTGGTCTCCCCGCACCCTGCATTCACTATATCTGGTCTCCCCGGACCCTGCACTCACTATATCCGGTCTCCCTGGACCCTGCAGTCACTATATCCTGTCTCCCCGGACCCTGCAGTCACTATATCCGGTCTCCCAGGACCCTGCATTCACTATAACTGGTCTCCCAGGACCCTGCATTCACTATATCTGATCTCCCAGGACCATGTATTCACTATATCTGCTCTCCCCGGACCCTGCATTCACTATATCTGGTCTCCCGGACACTGCATTCACTATATCTGGTCTCCCCGAACCCTGCATTCACTGTATCTGGTCTCCCACAGTACACACAACATGGAAATGCAATTATTTTTAGTAAATATAAACTGCTAAATACCTTTTCTCATCAGCAGTTAGAGCAGTCTTGTGACTTCTATCAGTGTTCAGCAGAGCACTGGTTAAAGCTTGAAGGAGGAGTTTTCTTTCTGCTCTAGGAGGATGCAGGACCCCTGACCTCTGTCTGGACAGTGCTGATTGGCCTTGTGTTGATCACATGCACTCTCCCAAGAAAAAAACTCTCTAGCAATACATACTAAACTGAGCATGTAGAGAATGGCTACGGTTCAGTCTGTCTTATCAGGAGATAAGACGTTGACATTTGAACAAGAGGAGGAGCAGAGAAGACAGGATCAAACAGCATTTTTACACAATGCAGAGGATTAACCCCTTAGGTTCCACAGTGAGTATAACAAGCATGCTTTACTGCATATACAGACTGATATTACTGTTGTGGGTTTAGTAACACTCTAAGTACTTGTTTGCTGTGTCAGTGGAAGGGGTGGGAGAAAAAAGTGGGCAGAGAGCTGAAATTACACACTGCAAAGCTCAGTGAGGAGAGTTCTGAGACCGGATTGGAGGGAAGACACACACAGCTGAGGTTGGGAGGGTGTCAATCTGCTGGAGTCACTTCTCAGAGGTGATTCGTGCTGATATCAGAGGAACGAAGTAGCAGACAGAAATTACACTTAGCGCTCTGGATTGAGACAAGCACACTGTAGAGGGATATACTTTGTTCATATTTCATGCTTCTGGATTGAGACAAGTGCACACTATAGAGGGATATGCTTTGTTCATATTTTATGCTTGAGGTTTACAACCACTTTAATCTGAAGACCATAAAAAATTGTGATTTTATTTGTTTTGTGTGATTTCTCGGTGGCCCATTTTCCCGTTCCCCGCCCTCTTTGGGCAGTGGGGGGTTCTTTTGGTTCATATGTACAATTAGGGATGGTGTCCACTGAGAAATAACCAAGTATAGACGAAGTTACTTCATACACGTTTATTCTATTGTTGTTGCTGGGCGGCTTCCACATTATGGAACAGCTGGACATTCTATATTGGGAAACAAACATTACAATTGCCTTTGTGATTTTGGTCACGGAGAGCCTCCATGTAACCAACCCTGGACACAAATTATACAATGCGCAACAAAAATAGCTTGCAGTTTGTAAACACCATCCTAAAAAAAGAACACAATACTAGGCTAGCTACAGAGTGCCGGGCTCCCTCCCCGTCCATACCAGCCATGATACCCTGGATACAGGCGCATGGATAATGCTGTGTTATCGGTGACAATCATACCATATATACTGTATATATATGAGGACTCCGGCCTTCCCTTCACCTGGCACAGTTACCGGCTCCTCTCCTGAACTAAAAATGACTTCCTCTGATTTCACTGCACACTGTGAGCTTCTCACAATGTGCATTAGAAGCTGCAGCAAGTCAGATAGAGGCCGCCTCCTGGCTGGAAGACATCCACCATCATCTAGTCCTTCCTCCCCCGCCTTACTGTTCCCAGCCTTTTATTGGGTTTTAGTTTTTTCAGTCATGGAGTCTCAGCATCACATGTGGGAGTTCCCTAGTGTTGTCTGCATGCAAATACAGCCTGCCTAGAAAGGTCCACGTCCTCTAGACTGACACCCAACCATCAATCATCTATCAGTTTGATATTTGCATAGCTCCTCCCAAGAGTCAGCCCACTGCTGGCACCAGCACTGAAAGTTCTTGTACAGCTATGTGCAGCACTCTGCCTGCCCATCCCCTTGGCCATGATCTACCTGCATTGCATAGAGAAGCACAGAGATCCAATGATGATGTCATTGAAACTAAAATAAGGTATATAATGAAAATAAAAAAAGGTTTTACATAATAGTTTCATTAGCATGTTGATGAGAGGGGAGGGACAAAAAAACATCCCTAATCCACAACCTCTCCCCCTCGATGCCCTTTTGGCTGTACTTCTCCTGTAGATCACAGGAGTGCAGTGCATTCTGCACTTCTCTGATCCGTTTTCAGCTGACAGCATGCTGAAGCCCACAGTCGGCTGATGTCACTCAGCTGGTCCAGGCTGGGGAAAGATTCCGACTTTAAAGTCAGGATCCACCCCAGAGTTCGGAGCAGCACCTGGCTCAGCCTCTCAGCAAGTCCACTGATAGCCTGAGTCAGCTGCACCCTCCCCCTCCACAGTCCAGCACTCCAGTGAGTGGGTGGGTGGCAGAGCAGAGAGCAGTGACTGACAGTCACCGCTCTCTTCTCACAGCAGCTGTGAGAAGTCAGCAATCAGGAGTCATGTGATCGCAGAGTTTCCACACTTAGAGCCAGCGGGGGACAGATGCAGTATCCACCTAGGTAAGTATAATAGGGGGGGGGGGGGGGGGAGCCCATACTCCTCTTTAATCTGCACTCTAATAAAGTGCATTCAAAGGCGATTTTTCTTTTTTGTCCTCATGCAGACGGGACGTTTTTACAGCGGCTGTTTTTTGGCTTTTCGCGTTTTTTTCTACAGCCAGTAAACTTCCTCAGCATGTTATCCTATGTGTCCGTACACACATAGGCTGTAATCAGCAATTTTTTGGCTGAAGAAAAAAAACCCCAGAATTAGTGGGTTTCTAGAGGAGTTTTTAGTAAAATCGCTCTAACATGGTAAAACGCACCAAACCAGCGTTTTAGACTTGTTTTGAGCAAAAAAAAAAAATTTTTTTCTGTTAACACTAAAAAAAATGGTAAAAAACCGCAAACACGGAAAAACGCAGCGAAACGCAGCAAAACACTAATGCAAAAACACTGAAAACCACTGAAAAACTTGCGTTTTTTTAAAATGACTTTACACAGCTAATGCTACCAGCGTCAGGGCTGTGGATAAGGGGGTATTACCAGTCCTCCTGTATGGGTCCCAGGCTAGCAGGGGGGCCCAGGCATCTGTGAGAATCGGATGTGGGCAGGGAGAGTAATTGGGGGGGGGGGCGGGTTACTGAAACTGATCTCCTGTATGGCTCTCTCTGCAGCAGCTAAAAGCTGCTTCTCCTCCCCCTCCCGCTAGCTTTCAGCTGCTGCAGAGAGCCATAGAGGGGATCAGTTCCAGTAATTGTCCCCCCACCACACCCATAACTCTCCCTGTCCACCGTACTTTTCTCCCTGTTGCCCAGACCCCCCTGGGTCCTTCAGGAAGGAGAGTGGAAGAAGGATCTGGTAAATATGTCACATTTACCAGCCCCTTCCTTTCCTGAATGAACACAATGAGTGATCAGTACTGATCACTCGCTGTTTTCATTCATAAAAGTAGCATAGTAAACTGGGGGGGTTTTTTTTGGGGGGAGGCCTGTCAGGTTGGCTGTACGGGGCTCAGTGATTTCTAACAGAAGCCCTGACCAGCGTTATTAATGTGTGCATACAACCTTTAATGAATGGGTTCCTCCTGCACCCTTTTATCTTGTAGTGGTCTGCTACCAAGTTACAATGTTGCAGTCTGATCACTGGGGGAGAGGAGACTGAGGAAATGCTTCCTCCTGCCTGCAGCAGACTGATGCCACAATCTCAGCTTAGGCAAAGTCACTGCCTGGAGTTCAAGGGCAGCTTTTTAATGATAAAATGTGGAGCTTTTCTGAAAAATGATCCTGTTGTTGTATATGATGACTTCTCAGGAATGTATCGGGAAGAAATTATTTCAAACTTGGGTGAGAGGTCAACGTAACTACACAGCTGCTATCTGTGATCACTTGTTAGGAGGATGAACAGCACAGAAAGTGGTATGCTCAGGAAACATAAAATACTTCTCAGAATATTCGGCCAATGACAGGCGGATTGGAAGGGGTCATGTGGCGCTCAAAGAGGAAAGGGTTAAGGAGCTTCTTCCTGGAATGGTCCCCATAAAGGAAGTCATAGAGGAAATCATATGTCACAAATTCTGCTGGAGCAGAGAGAGCGATGTCAAAAAAATCTTTAGTATTTTTTTTTTTTTTAACATTTGATTGTTTTTTTTAGCGAGACATAACATTAACCCTTTCATGATGAAGGTAAAACACATTTTAAAGGCTGAACACAGTTTTGCAACTCTGCCTTGAGTTAGTAAAATTGTACATATCATTGCAACCACTGGGGTCAGTTCACACTAGAGCGCAGTGATGGAAATCCATACCCCTTGCGCGTTTCCCTCACCACGTTTAAAAACGCACTGCGCTTGTAATCTGCAGTAGATGTCAGTGTTAACCACACCCCAAATGCAGGTCACAAACACAATGCACTTTTCTGCACCAGATCGCATAATATAGTAGTACCATGAGGTCTGCTTGCCGTCCGTTTTTTAAAGTAGTGCATGCACAACTTTTGGTACTATATGATACTTGAACAAAAATGAGCTGCATGGTCGAGTTGCCTTTGCAAAGAAAGCAAGAAGCCTTTACATAAAAGCCTGGTGAGGCGTGTCAAAATGTTGTCGGGCACATTGTAACTGGGATTCTTTGTGGCATTGGCGCAGTAAAGGCTTCATTCTGGCAACTCGACCATGCAGCTCATTTTGGTTCAAGTAATGTCGTATTTTGCTCCAGTCTGTAGAGTGGGGAAAGGGTCCAGACCAGCCTGCATTTCTTCTGAGGCTACCTGTGGGGTTTTTCTTTGTATCCTGAACAATTTTTCTGCCAGTTATGACTGCAATATTTTTTGGTCTACCTGACCTTGGCTTGGTATCAAGAGAGCCCTGAATTTTCCACTTTTTAATAGGTGATTGAACAGTACTGACTGGCATATTCAAGGCTTTGAATATTTTTTATATCCTTTTCCATCTATATAAAGTTCCATTACCTTGTTACGCAGATCTTTTGACAGTTCTTTTCTGCTCTGCATGGC